CGGGCGCGACTACAATTTTTACTACTACTACTACTACTACTACCACTACTACGAGTACTACTACACCTACTACTACTACTACTACTACTACTACTACTACTACTACTACTACTGCTACTGCTACTGCTACTTCTACTACTATTGTTGTTATCGTAATAGTCGAGTTTGTCGTCTTCGTCATTGTCGCCATCGTGGCTGAGATTCGATTCCCTGTATCAGCGGCGGACCTGACAATGTTGGGGGTTTCAGAATCCGAGGGCATCATGTATCGTGGGCTACCCTACACGCGAGAGGATTTGCGAGCATTAATCCACGATGATTGCAATGGGGGTCAGTGTTTGCGGTTGTGGTCGTGATTGCAGTTTTTCTTTAGTCTCGTGATTGCAATCGTGACTGCAGTCGCGATTGTAGTCGTAATCGTCGTCGTTCTTGTCGTCGTCATCGCAATCGTAATCTTAGGCGTAGTCGTAAGCGTCGCCGTCGTCGCGACGGAGATTCTTATCCCTGTATTGTTGGGCGGGTGCATAATGTTGGGGAGTTCTCTCTCCCAGGGAATGAGGCCCCCTGGGCTGTCCGGTGCAACCGAGGGATTTTGAGCACGCATGTAAAAGGAATGCAGTACAGATGGACGCAATCTTCGCCGAAGGCGTCTTTCTCAATCTATCTGAGGATCGAGTTTCTGAGAATCGAGTTTCTGGGGCCGTGATATCCTTGAGAGTGCTCCTGAGGCATTATTATCATTCGTATTAGTAGTAGTCGTAGTAGTAGTAGTAGTAGTAGTAGTAGTAGTAGTAGTCGTAGTCGTAGTCGTAGTCGTAGTCGTAGTCGTCGTAGTCGTAGTCGTAGTCGTAGTCGTAGTCGTAGTCGTAGTCGTAGTAGTAGTAGTAGTAGTAGTACTAGTACTAGTACTAGTAGTACTAGTACTACTAGTAGTAGTAGTAGTAGTAGTAGTAGAGTAGTAGTAGTAGTAGTAGTAGTAGTAGCAGTAGTAGTAGTAGTAGTAGTAGTAGTAGCAGTAGTAGTAGTAGTAGTCGTAGTAGTAGTAGTAGTAGCAGTAGTGGTAGTAGTAGTAGTAGTAGTAGTAGTAGTAGTAGTAGTAGTAGTAGTAGTAGTAGTAGTAGTAGTAGTAGTAGTAGTAATAGTCGTAGTAGTAGTAGTAGTAGTAGTAGTAGTAGTAGTAGTAGTAGTAGTAGTAGTAGCAGTAGTAGTCGTAGTAGTAGTCGTAGTAGTCGTAGTAGTCGTAGTAGTCGTAGTAGTCGTAGTAGTAATAGTAGTAGTAGTAGTTTTCACGGCGTGTGCCGCGGAACAAACTAATCAGTTACCCCCTATGGTCGGGACCCCAGCCCGTGAAAAAGGCCGCCGAACATATGATGAAATACCCCCTATTGCGGGGGGGGGTGAAAGACCTTTGGAGGTTATAGTCCTTGGGGAAAGGTGTCGCGTTCCGGATCCAACGTTGGTGGTTCCAAGGGCTCGGCATTTGGTCCCACGGGCCGAAATCGTAGGAGGACGCGCGGGTTGAATAGGCCATGTCGGCGAGTGTCTGGGGATTTGTATACTGCCCGCCGCCCGCGGAGGAATTTCGGCCGCCGCTTCATGACCTACACGGTGATTCGCATCGTCCAACCAATCCCCATCCCCACTGGCCCATGGCGTTTCTGGGCCACGAGCCCCGCGACCCCCCCAAATGACAGATATATGTATATACATTTACGAATAATCACACATATGTGTATACACGATGTGAGAATCCATGCGTACCTGTAATACATACCGGCAGACGGACAGAACAGACAGACAGACAGACAGACAGACAGACAGACAGACAGACAGACAGCGTTCACGAGGCCCGGGGGACCAGGACCGCGACCTCGACGGCGCAGGGGGGTACTGGGGCCTCTGGGGCGCCCCCGGGACAGCCCCTGACAGCCCCGAAGCGCCACCCGAGGGTCCCAGGAGGTCTCCAAGCGTCCAAGACGGCGAAGATGGCTCCCAAACGGCTCCTGGGAGCCCCCACGACGGCCCACGAGTCTCCCAAGAGGACTCCCAAGAGCGCCTCCAGAAGCAAAAGTGGCCCCATGCCCTTCGGATAACGTACCTTTTTAACAAATTCACCGCTTTGGCGTCGACCGCGTCGAAGACGGCCCCAGGAGCCGACCAGATCGCCCCAAGACGGCCAAAGAGAGTTCCAAGAGGCCTCCAAGACGGCTGAAGAGGAGCCCTCGACTGTCCAGGGAGCCCCCAAGACGGTCCCAGTTGGGCCCTGGGGGGCCTCTGGGGCCCCCCCCGGACAGCCCCAGACAGCGCCTAAACGCCACCAGAGAGTCCCAGGAGGTCTCCAAGCGTCCAAGACGGCCCAGAATCCCCGATACGTCGCTCCAAGTCGCCGAAGATGGCTCCAAGACGGCCTCTGGGAACCCCCACGACGGCCCACGAGTCTCCCAAGAGGACTCCCAAGAGCGCCTCCAGAAGCAAAAGTGGCCCCATGCCCTTCGGATAACGTACCTTTTTACGATATTCACCGCTTCGGCGTCGACTGCGTCGAAGACGGCCCCAGGAGCCGACCAGATCGCCCCAAGACGGCCAAAGAGAGTTCCAAGAGGCCTCCAAGACGGCTGAAGAGGGGCCCTCGACTGTCCAGGAGGCGCCCAAGACTGTCCCAGAAGGCTCTGGGGGGCCTCTGGGGCCCCCCCGAGACAGACCCAGACAGCCCCGAAACGCCTCCTGGGAGTCCCCGGAGGTCTCCAAGCGTCCAAGACGGCCCAGAATCCCCAAGTTGTCGCTCCAACACGCCGACGATGGCTCCAAGACGGCCTCCGGGAGCTCCCACGACGGTCCAAGAGTCCCCCAAGACGATTCTCAAGCGCGCTTCCAAAAGCAAACATGGCCCCATTTCCCTCGGAAAACGTACCTTTTTACGATATTCACCGCTTCGGCGTCGACCGCGTCGAAGACGGCCCTAGGTGCCGACCAGATCGCCCCAAGACGGCCGAAGAGAGTTCCAGGAGGCCTCCAAGACGGCTAAAGAGGGCCCTCGACTGTCCAGGGGGCCCCCGAGACGGTCCCAGAGGGCCCCGGGAAAGCTTTCCCACAGCCCCGAGGGGTACCCCACCCGACATTTCGAGCCTTCCTCCCCAAAAAGCACCCCAGAGATCCCAAGAAACCTTCAAGAGCCCCCGAAACAACACCCAAACCCAAGCGGGCCCCACGGGGCCGCCAGGGAGCCCCAAGAGGCTCCCAAGAGCCCTCCCCCCAGACGCTCTGAGGTACTCTGGCCGATCCCGAAGCTTCCGGACAACTCTCGGCATCCTGACGCCCCCAACGGGCCCCGGGACCGTCGAACATTTAGGACGAAATTCAGGGCCTATAGAAATTGTCCGGACCTCGGGGCCACTCCAGGGGTCGTCGACGTCGTCGTCGTGGTGGTGGCAGCCCTCCTCCTCGTGATCGTCGTCGTCGTCGTCGTCGTCGTCGTCGTCGGCATCGTCGTCGTCGTCTTCGTCGTCACTCGTCGCCGCCCTTGTCGTCGTCGACGTCGTCGTCGTCGTCGATGATCATACATAATATCTATATATCTATATATATATATATATATATATATATATATATATATATATATATATAGCCCCCCCCCACAGAGCGTCCCACACAACCAGAACATCTGGGGGCAACTGGGCAACTCCCCGTACCGCGCCTCCGGGCCTCCCAAGGAGGCCCCAAAGCGCCCAGGACTGCCCAAGACGCCCTGCAGGAACCCCCAGAACGCGAAAGAACGGCCCAAGACGCTCCCAAGCAGCCCAAGACAGACTTCCAACGGCTCCCCAGGCTCCCGGGAGGCCTCGAAGAGGCTCCAAGAGAGCTCCGAGAGGCGTCCCGGGATCGCCCGAAGAGGCCAACAACGTTGATTCGTGTCGTTAGGTTTTTAGCCTTTTCGCGTTTTCGAGCTTCCAACGCTCCAAGACGGGCGAAAAGGCGCCCAAGACCACCCCAAGACCGCCCAAGAGCCACGAAGACCGCCCCAAGACCGCACAAGAAGGCCCCAAGACGGCCCAAGAGCGCCCCGAGGCAGCCCATAAGAGCCCCAATATGTTCCGAAAAGCCGCCCAACAGGGGAACGCAAATCGACAATCCCGGCTTTCCGCTCCAAGAGGCCCCCAGGAGGCCCCAAGAGTCCTCCAAAGAGCTTGAAGAGGCCCCCAAGAGCCCCGAACAGGCCCAAAAGTTGCCTAAGAGGCCCCAAACAACCCCCCAGCGGCTTCCAAACTGCCTCCCAAGAGCCCCCTTCACGCCTCGTAGGCCCCCCCGATGCCCTCGCACTACATCTCAGGAGGCTCCACTTGAAAAAGAAAGAAGGAAATCCAGTGATTCTTTTTTTGTTCAAGTTCATCCCGAGCCCCATCAAGACTTCGGGGTCACAATGCAACGATATTTCGAAATATCGTTGCATTGTGACCCCGAAGTCTTGACGCTGTTGAACTTTCTGACGCTGTCGAGGCACTCTCTCGGGTCGTCTTCGTGTCCTCTTGGCTGCCCCTGAAGCCACCGTAAAAATCGAGATCCCATGAGTTCACCTGTCCAGCCTAATTAGCTAGAACGTCAGCGCGCGCGCGCCAAGAAAAAGACAAAAGAGAAGACCTCCCAAAGCCTTTCGAGCGCTTTGCCCCAAGGTGGCACCAAGTATCTCCCAGAGGTTCTCGAGGCGCCTCCCCGATGCCTGCGGAGACTCCTGGAAGACTCCCAGGGAAAGTCCGCAATTTGCCCCAAGATGGCTTCAAGGTTCTCGCAACGGCTCTCGAGGCGCCGCCCAGATGCCTTCAGAAACTCCATGGGGGGGCTCCCAGGAGGCGCCAAGAGCTTTCTCAGAGGCCCCGAAAGACTCCCAAGAGGCCGCCAAAAGGCCCCCAGACCAGAGGCGTCCCAACAGTCCACGGCCTGTATCCAGGAAACTTCGACCCACGGCCCAGGCATGACAATTATCAAAAAAAGGAGTTCCAATAATTATTTGTTTCCAATCTTACCCCCTCTACACAACAGGCCATAATTAAGGCCCCCGTCACCACCGAAGAAAGATCACCAGGAAGCCCTCGAGGGTCCCACATCATCGAACACCTGAAGGAAGATATTCACACGTGTATATATACACATGGTACAGACATATGTGGGTATATGTCGTTCAGACATACGCATAATTGTGTATGCCCCCTTCTAACTTTAGCCCAGCGTGTCCCGCCGCCGGTTCGGCCCACCACGCTTCGGGGCGACACGATTTCCTTGTCCCCGAGCGTCAACGTCGTTAGTTTTTCCCAGTCTCCCGGCCTGCGGAGCGGAGCGACACGCTATCCGCTCGCAGGGCACAGCAGCGTGTGGGCCGCCCGCCACCGCGACACGCGAAGCAAAAGTTCCCGACTGCAGGTGGGCAGGTCGACCAGTTGGGCCGCAACCGCACCAGTGGGGGTAATGCGGCAAAGCGATTACGAACTGCCCTGGGGGACTGGGAAGTGGACGATGAAAAGGCTGTTCCCGGTTCGCTGTCGTCGTCTCCGTCGAGGCCGCCGGGACGCAGCCAGCGCCCCAGACGAGATTTGGTCGGATCGTCCCATCTGGTAAGGCCTCGGGCTGCACACGGACAGCCCGCCCAGGTACTCCCGGCTGGCCTCAACGACCCGCCGAGTAGTTTCAGCTGGCCTCAACAGGCCCCCCGGGTAGTTCTGGGCGGTATCAACGGTGCCCTGCCCGATGCCGATGCGGCGCCAGGATGTTGAGACCGCCCCAGACCTCTCGGGGGGCCTGTTGAGGCCAGCTTGGGCTTCTCGGCGGGCAGTTGAGGCCGGGACTGCCTGGGCGGGCTGTCCGTGCGTAACCCGAGCCCTTGCCAGGCCGGGGCGATTTTGTTTGAAGCGCTCGGTCGCCTCAGAGATCGGTCAGGCGATGTTGAGGTGGGCGTCATAAAAAAACAGGGTCTGCGCCGACATTGGCGCGTAAGCTGCCCGCGCAAGGCCGCGCAGAAGCGCCCTCGTCTCCAATGTAGCGTGTTGCGCTGGCGGCCTGCGTACGGCAGGTTCGTGCGGCGTTGGCGTGCCGGCGACGCGGGCGAAGGCGCTCAAGGTTGAAGTCTGCGACCCCGAAGCACCGAGGGACACGGTGACGCCGAACGATCCAAGGTTGAACGATCGACGCGGTGTGACAAACCTTTGCGCCCGCCGACGCCGCACGAACATACCGTAAGTGATGGGCCGCTTTTCCACCACCACTACCACAGGTATGAGAGGGAGGAGGAGGAGGAGGAGGAGGAGGAGGAGGAGGAGAGGAGGAGGAGGAGGAGGAGGAGGAGGAATAGGAGAGGATGAGGAGAAGCAGGAGCAGGAGGACGAGAGGGGAGGGGGGGGGGAGGGGGAGGGAGGAGGGAGGAGGAGGAGGAGGAGGAGGAGGAGGAGGAGGAGGAGGAGGACCTCCCCATCCTCCCTCCTCCCCCGCCCTGCCTTGCGGCAGCGGTGGTGGAAGGCTGGCCCATCTCGGCTGGGCCGCCGCGCCGCCCCGCGCAGGTGCGGGCCGGCAGGCACGCGGGGCTCCGCGCCGTGGGCGTGGGCAGCAGCCGCGCGAAGCGCCGCCGCGCCGCGCACCTGGCGCTGGCGGCCACGGCGGCGCTGCACGCACTGCCCGTGGGAGGAGTTGGTCGGGCGGAGGTCGGAGGAGGAAGAGGTGCCCGGACCCCCCGCCTCCCCGCGCTGTCCCCCTTCTTTCGGGGCCCTGCGGGGCCTCCGTCGTCGCCGCGGCCGGGCTCGCCTCGACGCCCTGGGCAGGACGCGGCCCAGGAGAGGTCCGGGGAGCGGGCGGCGTCGGCACCTCTTGGTGCCCCCAGGAGGCCCACCGAAGGGGCCGAACGAAAAGGAGGGGGGGGATCATTGGGGAAAGGGGGGGGTATACGAGATCTGCTGCATGCAGCTGGTTTCGGCCCCGCCGCCGGGCCCATTCCTCGATGCATGGGCGCCTCCCGGCGCCGGGAGGCGCTGGGAAAATCAGCTGCGTGAGCTGATTCTCTTTCCTACCCTTTGCTATCCCCCCCTTTCGTTCCCCCCGCAGGGCGGAGGCCCAGAGTCGGCGGCGAGCGGGGCGGGGAGGTGAGAAGTCATGAGGGGAGCAAAAGCACACAGACACAATTAGGGGAATTCGGAACAAGCAGTGACATAAACATAACCACTCTGAGGTCCGCGCGGATTTCTCGGATCCGCGCTGGGCCCCCCTGGCGGCGCCTCAGGCGCCGCCCATGGCGCGTTCCGTGCGCCAGGGAGTCCGAGAAATCCACGCGGACCTCCGTGTTCGTATGTTTATTCCCCACATCCAAAGTGGGGTTCTTGTTTTCTCTAGACACCCCGCGCAGGAACAAAATAATACAACCTCTCCGCTTCTCTCATCACATACTCATTCACTGAATCACTCACACACATCATCTCTCACACTCACTCGCTCACCCACTCACTCATCCACTCACACGCACACCCACACACACTCACTCACCCACCCACTCACCCACTCACACACTCACACACTCACACATTCATCATCATTATCACTCACTCACGCACTCACCCGCTCACTCACCCACCTACCCGCCCACTCACTCACTTACTCAAGCTCTCATCACCATCATCATCACCATCATCACTACCATCATCCCAAATATCCATTCTCTCACTTATATACTGACTCGTTCACATCAGGCAGGAGCTTCGTCTGTGAGTGAATCGCGAGGACGTCTCAGGCGGGAGCCCCTTCCCTATGTGGCCCGCAGCTCATGTGAGTAATCCGAGCGGCTCATCGGAATCCTGTACCTGTCGTTACTTTCGGCCTCTTCAAGCTTGGGTATGGCGGAAGTCTGAGACGGTGAGTGAATCACGAGGAAGTCTTAGGCGGGAACCCCTTCCCTATGTGGCCCGCAGCTCCTGTGAGCAATCCGAGCGGGTCATCGGAACCTTTAATTGTCGTCGCTTTTGGGCTCCTGAGGCCTGAATCTTTGGGAAGTATCAGCGGGAGCCTCGTCTGTGAGTGATATGCCAGGAAATCTCAGGCGGGAGCCCCCTCCGTATGGGGCCCTTAGATCAGGTTTTTAATCCGAGCGGATCATCGGACCCTGTAATTGGCTTCACTTTTTGGCTCCTGTGGCTTGAAGATGGAGGAAGTATCAGGTGGGAGCCTCGGTTGTGAGTGAATCGCGAGGAACCTTGTAACCCTCGTCACTTTTGGGCTCGTGGGGCCTGCGTATGGGGGAAGTGTCAGGCAGGAGCCTCGTCTGTGAGTGAACTGCGAGGACGTCTCAGGCGGGAGCCTCCTCCGTATGTGGCCCGCAGATCATGTTATTAATCCGAACTGGTCATCTGAATTGTTTACTTGTTGTCAACTTTTGGGCCCCTGAGGCCTGAACATTTGGGAACTATGAGGCGGGAGCCTCGTCTGTGAGTGAACTGCGAGGAAGTCTCAGGCGGGAGCCTCCTCCGTATGTGGCCCGCAGCTCCTGTGAGTAATCCGAGTGGGTCATCGGCACTTTGTAAGTGTCGTCATTGTTGGGCTCCTGAGGCCTGAATATTTGGGAAGTATGTGGGGGGAGCCTCTTCTGTGAGTGAATGAGCTGGTGGTCGGCAGATTTTGTTGCTGTCGGCATCAGGCCTTGGAGCTTCAGGGCAGAGGCGGAGCAGCTCGCGGCAGAGTTGGGCTTCGTGCTGCCCCCCCGCCTGAGCGCCGCGGCGCCCCGCCCGAACGCCGCGGGGTTGTCCCAACGGCTTGGTTTCGCGCGCCAGCGGCTCGCGGGGTAGTCCCGACGGCCTGGCCCGCGGGGTTGTCCCAACGGCTGCGGCGCAATGCGGCAATTAGAAAGCACGGCCGTGCTGGCCGAGACAGCGACGGCGCCGAGGAAAATCGCCACGCGCGCTCGTGCCACAGAGAGGGAAGGAGGTGGCGGGGGGTGCAAAAACAAGAAAGCGAGGAGAGGACAACGTAGGGAGCTGGAGAGGTCGGTGCGGATTTGGGCGTTTGTACCGAAGTCCGTACCTCGCATTTGTTTGCCCTATTTCCCTCACCCTCAATCGCGCCTCTCTCGGTTTTATCATTATCCTGTTTTCTGCCTCGTCTCAATATCGTCATCGCTTGCTACGGGTTGTTGTTACATGTTCAGGCGATAAGGAAGTGCATCCTGATGTTGGTGACTATGTTCATGCCAAGGAAGGGTACGACGGTGAGCAGCGCGCAAACGGGGAGTTTGTACAGAGCGCGGTGATGATGGCAATTCTGGTGGTGCTGGTGATGGCGATGGTCGTGGTGACCATGATAATTCTGGTGGTGCTGGTGATGATGGCAATTCTGGTGGTGCTGGTGATGATGGCAATTCTGGTGGTGCTGGTGATGGCAATTCTGGTGGTGCTGGTGATGATGGCAATTCTGGTGGTGCTGGTGACGATGATGATGATGATGATGATGATGATGATGATGATGCTGATGCTGATGCTGATGGTGATGATGGCGATGACGTTTTTGTGTGATGGGGATGATGATGTTAATGATGCGGATGGCGATGATGATGATGACGATGATGAGGATAAGGAGGATGAGGGGACGCATGTGGATGATGAACATGATGCGCTTGCGGGTGATGATTGCGATGTTGATGGCGCGCGCTACGATCGTTCACGCGCGAAACAAAAGCATTCCTGCGTAAGAAAACAACCCACGCCGCATAGTTTTGAATCTGACCTCCGCGGGAGGGGTGGGTTGCGAAGAATTTGCGAAGCTGAGATATGAGACGTGTCTTGCAGCCGTCTTGGCCCCCTTGGCTCTGAAGGGGGTTATTTGGCCCCCCACCCTAAGGGCTCGACAGTGGCCTCTTGAGACCTTGTGGGTCCGCTCTTGGGAGCATTTTGGGCGTTCGTGGGCTATGTTAGGGCCCTCTTGGATCCCTGTTGAGGCTCTGTTGGGCCATATTGGGGCCAACTTGAAGCTTCAGAGTCCCATCGAAAACAAAACAGCAACAACACAAACCACATGTTGTTTTAGGTTTCTGAAAGATTCTGGCTCCGTGGTCGGTGCCCGGGAAGGCTCGGGTGGCTCTTGGGACCCTCTCGGGGCTGCCTTGGAGCCTCTTGGAGGTCTGCCTGCCGGGGACTATGATAAGCCATCGTTGGCTATCTGATCCGTCTTGGAGGCCGTCCTCGGCTGCCGATGGTTTTCTTGCAACCTCTGGACCATCTAACCCACCGGCGCCCCCCCCTCTCCCAGGCCCAGGATAAGGGGGGGTAGGGGTACACCCCGCCCCCGAGCCTGGGGAGGAGGGGTGATGGAAGAAGGACAACACCCGTTGAACCACCTGGGTACGCCCAGAAGGCTGGCGGGCTTTGCCACGGACGGCCCAGGGAGGGGACCGGGGACAGATCCTGAGTGGAGTTGGCAGGGGTGGTGATGTTGATCGAACGTTTTGGCCTGCTTGGGCCTCCTCGTGGGGCTTGCGTCGCCACGGCCAGACTCGCCCCAGACTCCTGGTCAGAGCGGTCCCCGGAAGAGCAGGATCAGCTGTGCCGGTACGCGGTGGCCCTCGGCCAATCCAGCCACCGTTCCTGGGCAGTGGACCAGACGCCTCTTAGAGAGCCCTTGGGTATGGGGTGTTTTGGAAGGCCTCGTGGGGCCTGTTGGAGGCCTCTTCGGGGCTTCCTGGAGGCCTCTTGTGAGCTTCCTGGGGGCCTCCTGGGGACACCTTGGGGCCCTCTTGGTCCTCGAAGGCGATTGTTTGGGGCCTGTAAGTGGTTTCCATGACCATCTTGGGGTGGAGGTCCCCAAGAGAGTTCCCCTTGTTGTGTCTCTCTTGGGGCCTTTTTGGGAGCATTTTGAGCCTCTCTGGGCATCGGGGCAACCTTGGGGCGATCGTGGGGTCTCTTTGGCAGTATTGGACGCTCTTAGTACCGAAAGTCACAAAAATCTTTGAGCAGGCCCCCAGGGTCCCCCAAGGCTGCCCAATAGGCCCCCAATAGGGACCATCTCAGGGCATGTTGAAATTGGATTCCGAGCCACACTCTCGAAGCCTCGGGAGAGTCGTGCGACACGCCCCGAAAGCGTGTGAGAGTGCCCAGGGAGTTTGAGTCCTGAGGTCTTCGTAGGGGATCTTTAGAATTTCAATGTTAGTCAGCGTGGACCACAAGCGATGTTCTCTTGCAACCTATGCGGTGCAATCTAGGTGGTGCAATCTATATGTTGCAATCAACGTGGTTGAATACAAGTGGTAGGGCGCAATGCAAAGCACTGCAGATCAATGCAACAAAGGGAAATGCAACGCAATGCAACGCAATTCAAACAATGCGACTATATCCAACGCAGTTGAACACATGCAAAGCAATGTAATTCAATGCAAAGCACATCAAAACAATTCAAAGCCATGCAACGACATGCAGCGCATCGCCAAGCAATGTAGTGCGCAGGAATGGAAAGCAATGCAAGGCAATGCGAGGCCATGCAAAGCCATGCGCAGCAATGTAAAATACGCCGCGCATCGCAACGCAACGCACAGCACTGCAAAGTAAGTCGAAGCAGAGCAAACCAACGCAAAACACCGTGATACGCCGCAGGACAGCGCAACGCAGAGCGCAGCAACATTGGGCAAACCAATGCAAAAGCAAAGCGAGGCGATGCAACACAATGCACAGCAGCGCAAAGCTATGCAAAAGCAATGCGATTGTAGCGCAACGCGGTGCGATTGCGATGCAATGCGATTGCGATCCACGCAGTGCGATGTCGCCGAGGCGCGGGGGCGGCGGGCGGGAACGGGACCGCCGGGGTCGCAGACGGGCGCCTCTGTTGGGAAGACTGGGGCGGCGACGTGTGGGAACAGCGTCGCCGGGCCCGCATTCTGGCCCAGTGCCTTAAGAAGGCAAGCGAGAACCTCGAAGTGCAAGTACCCATCGGTCGTTGAAAGTATGTATTTTTTGATTCCCAGATTCCAATCTACTGTGAGTGCCTTCCTGCTTCAATGGTCGAGTGGCTTCACCTTTTCCGTCCTCTGTAGGGGGCGGGCGGACACCCAATCTTTTGTCAACGCCTTCCTACTTCATGCTTCTACCTACTTCTTCCGACCGATGGGTTTGTGGGAAAGTTGAAGATTCCGAGTGTTTTCCAGATCCCTGGTGACATGTTTGGTCGCAGCGTAGACCCCCAGTTGTGCCGACCACTTCTGCGGGGCTGGCATTTCATCGTGAGTCGTCTTTGACAGTCCCGGGGCCCGGTGATGAGGGCCCCCACGGGACGGAAAGGGCACAGCCCCTCCGCTGCTTTTCGTGCTGTGTCGTAGCGCGAGGAGTGCTGGGCTGAGGACACTCTGGGATGGCGCTGTCCCCCCCAGGAGGGGGGCCCCCGCACCTGCGCGCGGAGCTGCAGGGGCTCGCCAGGGTGGCCGAGGCCGCGGAGCGGGCCCGCACGGACCTGTGGAGGCGGTGCAGCCGGTGAAAATCGTCTGCACGGAGGCTGCCTCAGCGGGGGAGAGAGACGGACCCCGACATGCAGTGGTCGGGGGCGGAAATGGAGGGGGTGATGACTAGGGGGGGTGGATCTCATGGCGAGGGCCACGATATTTCCCCAGATGTTATGGCGCCTGGATCTTATTTCGTTGCGTCCCTGGCCCCCCCGCTGGGCCGCGCACGTGCCGCCGGTCATGATTTGCACCCCCTCCCTCTTGGACATCCCCCTCTTGGCCGCTCCCGAAGTGGGGACATTGTGATGTCCTTGTGGTAGCACGATGTTTGTAGTGCTCGGTCAGGTCTCTCTCTGTTTGTGGGGCCACCATCAGGTCTCTGCTTGTTTGTTTGTAGTCGGGGCAGGGTCTCCCCCTTGTGTGTGCGATTCGATTGCAGGCTCACGCGAGCGCGCTCTTCCCCAATCGAACCATCCTGCCCGCAGCGATTCCAGCCCTCAGTGTCGCCAGCCTCCCCGTACCAGGACACGACACGCCCCCCCCCCACCCCTCAAGGGCTCCTGCCATCAACCAGTGGCGCAGCGTCCTGGCTCGCCCACAGGCCCACCAGAGAATGCTCTCAGAACATTTCTTGCGGAGATCGTTTTGTTTTGGCACATCGGCTTCATGTTCTAGGAATGCAGTCGGCCCGGATTGGTAGGTCGACCTTGCCAGCTCAAGGTTACCCTTGTGTCCTGCGCCTCGCGACACGTGCCTTCTTACACTCCTGTAGCGATGTGGCCCTCGGAAGGGTCTTGTGCCCTCTCGCGTGTCCTGCCCAATCAAGGCCGACCGCACTGTTGAATTATAAGAACAGCTGCATTTGTGGGGGAAGATGAGGAGGAGGAGGAGGAGGAGGAGGAGGAGGACTATTGCTTTTCTTGTAAGAGCAGTTGCATGTGTTGTGGGAGACTACGACAAGTCCGTGGTGGGCCTAGAGGAATGCCGGGGCGGTCGGCCCCTGCTCCGCCCGCGGGCGGGGCCGGGCGCCCGCAGGCTCCTCTGGGGCGGAGGCCCGCTCCAGGCCCCCTTTCGACGCTCCAGGGGAGGAGCAGGAGGAGGAGGAGGAGGACGAGGAGGAGGAGGAGGAGGAGGAGGAGGATGAGAGGAAGGGGCGAGGGGAGGAGGAGGAGGAGGGGAGGGAGGAGGAGGAGGAGGAGGAGGAGCAGGAGGGAAGGACGAGGAGGAGGAGGAGGAGGAGGAGGGGACGGGGAGGAGGAGGAGGAGGAGGAGGAGGTCTCGCCGCCTCGAGGGGTGGGGCGCTCCCCGGCTTTCTGGGCTCCGGGGCAGCGGGGCGGAGGGCCAGGGTGATGAGGGAAGGAAGGGAGGGAAGGAAGGGCAGGAGGAGGAAGGGACGGCCGGACGGATGGACGGAAGGAAGGGAAGGAACGAAGGAAGGAAGGACGGAAGGAAGTAAGATTAGGAGGAGGAGGAGGAGGAGGAGGAGGAGGAGGATGGAACGGGGGGATAGGAGGAGAGCAGGAGGAGGATCAGGAGGAGGGAGGAAGGAAGAAAGAGAAGAGGAGGAGGCGGGAGGAAGGAAGAAGGAGAGGAGGAGGAGGAGGAGGACAGGAGGAGGAGCAGGAGGAGGAGGAGGGAGGGCGCGGAGGGTTGGTGGGGGGGCGCGGCTGACAGGAGCAGAACGGGACGGCGGCGAGGAGGATGCCGGGCAGGAGGTCCAGGGAGGACGGGAACCTTACGGGGAGCAGGCACGCACGCGCTGATCTAGGACTCCTCCCTCCTCCGCTTTCCCCTCCTCCCGTCCTCCCTCTCTACCTCCGTTCTCCATCCTCTTTCCCTTCTCCCTCCTCCTCCTCCTCGTTCCTCCCTCCTTCTTTCTCCTTCCTCCCCCCTCGTCCTCCTTTCTCCCTCTTGCTCCTCCTCCTCTTCCTCCTCCCTCCCTCCCTCCCTCCCTCTTCCTCCCTCGCCTCCCTCTTCCCTCCTCCTTGCGCCTTGGGCGCCGATCTAGGATTCCGCTGGGCCGCTGCCACTGCTTTCATTGCCGCCCTGGCGTTCACAACAGAACCACGACATCAACACGAGCAAGTACACGCAACGCTTTATTTCTCACCTTCGCTCCCCGACTGCAGACCGCCGAAAGCGGAGAGAGGCCCCCCCCTCGTCGTTGTCGCTGCCGCGCTCCTCGGCGCAGGTCCAGGACCTGGCGAAGATTGCGCGCTGGGATCTCTCCAACTACACCGCCCTCAAGGCGACCTCCGCCTCCCGCCCCGAGGAGGTTGGAAGAGGGGGGAGGAGGAGGGAGGTCAGGGGCAACGACATGGGGGGGATAGGCATGGGGGGGGGCGCATGGACACCGACTCACCCATGGATCGCCGGTAGGGCTCTGATAGCCCCACCCCGCCCAGGAGGATGCGGTATCGCCATCGGGGGCTGATAGCCGATGTATCGGCGATGTATCGCTGATTCCAAGTCGATGCATCCCTCCTATGCCAGTCCCCCCCTGATCGCTGCCCCCAGGAGGAGGACGGAGGAGGACGGCGCGTGCCCGAGCGATCGAGAGGGTCCCGGGAGCGTGGCGGGCTCTAGAGGGTTTGGGGGCCCCCGCTCCCTCGTCCTCGCCACCCGCGCGCCCCCTCCCTCCCCCTTCCGTCCCTCCCCCGCCACTCCCTCCCTTCCCCCTCCTTGCCTCTCCTCGTTCCTCTCTCATCTTCTTCGTCCTCCTCCTCCTCCTCCTCCTCCTCTCCCTCCGACACTCCTCCTCCCCTCCTCCTCGTGGACTCGCCCCCTCCTCCATATCTCTCTCTCTCTCTCGCTCTCTCTCTCTCTCGTTCTCTCTCTCTCTCTCCGTTATATTTCTTGTTATCGTGCTCTCGTTCTTTGTAAATTTCTTTCTCTCTCTCTCACACTCTCTCTCTCTCTCCCCCACTTCCTACTGGTGTTTCTGCAGCCATCGCAGTGTCTGTTTACGCCGTCGTTGTTCAATTGTTTAGTTTTACCTCTCTCTCTCTTTCTCTATTTCTCCCTCCCTCTCTCCCTCGCTCCCTCTCTCTCGCGCCCTCGACCCCTCCCGAAGCGCGTGTGGCCAAGATGCTGGGGCGGAGCCGGCTGCGACGGCCAGGCGGCTGGCCCTCAGGGTCGAGGACCCAGGAGCGTATGGAGTGAGGGCAGGAGGGAGGGAGGATTTTGGATTCCGACGCTGATGAAGCACCTAGCCTGTCAGCAAATTGTGGCACGCAACTAGCAGCTGGCTGCACTAAAGTCGTAAAACGAACACTCTGCACGGGCACCTACGGTTACAGGACAGTGAGCCAGTAAAACTGTCAACCGTTGTCGGATCGGCGGCAGCGACACAGGGCGCGGGGCGGTCCTGGACCGATGCTGGCGACGCCGCCCTGGTCACCAGGCCAATCCAAGCACGGTTCTACGGCGAGACTGCGAGATTGCACGCACGATGAGAATGCACGATGGGACTTGCACAACGGCTGCACCCAGATGCACTCTGAACTCCTCCCAGCCTCCTCCTGCCGGGCGGAGAGACGGTGACCTGGCTCGCGGGAGGGAAGGGAACAGAACAAGACGCGCTCTGACTGACTCGGCAAAACTTGGCGACTTGAGAGCTGGGTGGGCTCGAGAAGCTCGAAGACCGACGGCCGCTCGTCGCTCCCTCCCCGAGGGTACCCGCAGTACACGCAGCGGGCGGGCGGCGGCCGCGCGGCGGGGGCGCTCGCTGCTACACTGCCGCGCCTTTCCCAGATCATCAGCATCATCATCATCATCATCATCATCATCATCATCATCATCATCAGCAGCATCAGCATCAGCATCAGCATCATCATCATCATCATCATCATCATCATCATCATCATCATCATCATCATCATCATCATCATCATCATCTTCATCTTCATCTCCATCTTCATCATCAGCATCATCATCATCATCCACCCGCAAGCTCGTTCAGCAGACGAGCGTCGTCCCAAGAGGAACTGGCAAGGGAGGGCCTCAGGGCAACGTCAAAACTCCAAGGTAATTTCTCGCATGACGTCTTTCGAGTATCCCCGTCGGCCGATGTCCTCGAATGGGAGATCACTAACCGATCAGGGGCTCGCAATAACCGTGGCACGGCCACAGTGCAACTTTGAATCCTGCGACATTCGAGGGGCTGGCACTTGAGCCGGAGAGAGAGAGAGAGAGAGAGAGACGGCACAACCCCACACAGGTACCCCTCGAATGATCGGGCCCTCGATTTGGCCCAAACAAAATTGGGGCGAGAGATGCACTAGCAAGCCAGGGCTGAGAGGAGCGGGTCGAGATGGCACAGACTCCATCCGAAGGAATGGGGCAGACAACAGGCTGGCGTGGAACGAGCATCGCGCAGACTTTGAGATGGCCGTGGCATCTCACTCCCCAGGGCCTGCTGCTACACTGCATCTCCACTCCTGAGACGATCCACCCCACCTGTCCTCCAATCCTGCTCTCCCGATTGTAACTGACCAGCCATGCGCATTGTCAAACAGGCCGACTTCGACGTCGGGCTGCAGCGTCCAAGGGGCCACCCACTGGGCCTGGCCTGCGCACGGTTGGCCGCTATCCGCTCGCGCATCGCATCGGTGAGCTCAACAGGCTGTGGGGGGGGAGGCGGGACAGAAGAGGGTGGAATCGGCGTCACCCCAACATACTTATACTATATGTGCGTCGCCCCCCCGGGGGCGATGCGCGCACCGAGGAATCTTATAGTATATATATATATATATGCGTTGTGGCGGGCGCATTCTGGCCACACCGCTCGGGAAACGATATACTACAAGATGGGTATACTATATGTTCGGGTCGGACGCGCGCGTCCAAGGATGACATATAGTACTAGTACGTCTTTGTGCATCCCATGGAAGGGGGAGCACAAGGGGTCGGCGTCCCCTGGCTGCGGCACGCGGGTGCCCTCGAGAGAGGCAGGGGCGTCAACATGCGCCCGCTCGTCGGTGCGGCAGGCTCACGTCGTGTCGACCGGCGGCGGCCCCGCCGTGGGCGTTCGAGG